AAATTTGTAGTAATTGAGATATTAGAAGATGAATAAAAAAATAAAACCAATAACAATATAATCATCCAAGTCAGTTCACTCCAAGTTCACATCGATTTGATCGAATTGATATCGACTCAATTTCTAGCCTGTCTAGCACTCAAAGCAAATCAGACTACTGTCTAGTTCACCTGTTTTCCTGTGGAACCGGTTGGTTCGGTTCAATTTTTTCCTCTTGCAAAACAGAGGGATTATTAACTCAACATTTAAAATGAATGGCATCATTGCTCGCCCTGGGATGATTTTTTTTCCCTGCTGATAAAAAATTTATGTTGAGCAAATTAGATTTTGAGCGTTTATGAAAATAAACAAAACTCATGGGGGCGGGTTTGGTCTTCTTGAACTACTCCTTGTGGTAAGGTTTGCTCTATGTCTAGTCCAAGGCAAACATTTATATTAATGTTTGATTGTAGCCATTACCGTTGGCAAAAAAAAAAAGAAAAAAAAAGAGCCATTACCATTTGAGTAAAAGTTAATATCTTACTGTTGGACACACATTTAATCCCAAGTTAAACGTTTTGTTTTAATTTTACACTAACACTATACTCTTCTTAGGATGTTCAAATGAGTAGACTTGAATTGATTGTGAGAACTGGCCGGAAAGTATCACATCGAGTAGAACTAGATTTATAAATAATATATAGTAAAGTAATTTTCAAATCAAATATGCATTTGTGGTGAAGGAGATCACTGATATTTATGGAGGATGAGTTGTGAAATTTATTTATTTATTTATTTTTATCTTCAAGTTAATCAGCTATCCACGTACACCTGTCTCTGGAGCCTAGCCTGCTGATCTCTACTTTTGAAGTCGTCTTCGCTAACATTGCGTCTTCAGATGTCATAAAATATTTTTTGGACTGACCAAGTCTTATATAGACTCTCTCTCTCTCTCTCTCACACACACACACAAAATGATTTTGTTAAAGAAAAAACCATTAAAATTGATACCACATGTAAGTAGTTTATACAGTTTTTCCAATAAAAGGAAAGTTTAAATTCTATATTGCAAAAAATTTACGTAGTAAGCTCCCATTTAACTTCAATACCAACTTGTATATAGTTTATTCGAAAATCAAGTAAAGATTAGAAAAACAACCCCAATTCTGGTATATACATTAAACAAGTCACCGCCAAAACTTATAAAATTTTTCATCCACTGCCGCTATGGGTAATGACTTTTCAACAGCGACTTTTCTGTTGCTACTAAAAATCAATTTATTTGTAGTGTTATATGTGTAATAATGTGATGTTTTTGCATTTATTTTTTTGTTCAATGATATTTACTTTCTTCAGCAAAAGGAAGAGATTCTATATATCGGCTGATTTTTTTTATTTATCCTTGTAGTTTTTGTTGCCATCAATTTATGCTTGCAGTTTATTTTACTATTTATGCCGTTATATCTAAAGCATTCAATAATTATTTTTTATTTTTTATTTTACTTTTAATGATTTTATTTGTTACACATATAAATGATATATACGGGCATTCTTAAACTCCAACTTCATATTATACCATACAATTTTAAAAATAAACACATATGTATCACAGTATCATGTTGTTCATATATCTAATATATGCGGATTAAAGTGGATTATATTGGTTAATTTGTAGAGGACTCAACAAATTGGCTTGAACTATCAAATAAGGACCATTCTCAGAGGCGTGAAAAAGGGTATTTTAAAGAGCCATGGGTCATCGTTCTCCTGCCTTTACGTACAATTCATGGGGCAATCCTCCATCTTCAATTTTCATAGAAAATTTAGATACTGCTGAGTTCTTTTAATGGGCAAAAGAATGATTTATCTTTTATGTGTGTGTAATAATAATGTGATGCTTTTGCATTTTTTTGTCCAATAATGATATTTATTTAATTTTCTTGAGCAAGAGGAAGAGATTTTATTCATCTTAATATATTTGTTTTTTTATTTAATAGTTTTTTTTTGTGATGAATCTATTCTTCTAGTTTATTTTAGTATTTACGCCATAATATCTGAAGCATTCAATAATCATTTTTTAGTGTGCATGTTGATCTTGTTATTTTTCTGTTTTCCTTTTAGTTATAGTTGGCCCCCAATGTTTTCATTCGATCTTATTATGTAATGAGTCCCAATGATTGTATCTCATTTTACCTAGTTTTTAATGAATTGTCTTCTAATCAAAAGAAATAATCATCTTTTATTTTATTTTTTTACTTTCGATGATATGATTTGTTCATTATATATATAAATTATATATGTATAGACATTCTGAAACTCCAAATTCATATTATAAAATTTTAAAAACTAACATATATATCAGTGTTCGCAGACTTGATAAGCGCATTGACTTGACCTATCAAATACGGACCATTGTCAGAGACATGGCAAAGGATATTTTAAAGAGTAATGAGTATATTCTTTGCTCGAAGTCAATAAGTCTTCTCTTTCCCATTATCTTTATTCGCTTAATTTTCTCAGCATTTTCTCCATCTGACTAGTCAACAATGTGGGATAATAATGTAGGGGAGATCATTAATCTCAAATAAATTTAACGAAATTAAAGAAAAAACAGAAGAAAACAATTCTCCTTAATGTATTTTTTATTGATAATTTAATGAATAAATTATGCTAACATTCTTTTAAAGTGGATAGCAAAAGGGAGGTTGACGATAATTAAAAACTTATGAAGCCCTGGTTTATCATATATTTATATGCTTGCTTATATCTCGTGTTTTATGCTTCAATTTAATACATCAGCGTAAGTTTTACGTCCACTCGTCCAGAATCTCACCGTTCGCGTCAACGTCACTGCACATAATACAAAAATGGAAAGGAATGTTACAAATTCCACAAATAATAAATGACAAATTGATTGATCTCCAGAAATATGAATGCTTTGCAAAAGTACTATAACGTATTGGCGATCGCTGGTTAAAAAAAGAAAATGTACTGGCGATCAACTTATGTCATGCATTACATCATCAAGACAAACTCAATCTAGGCGTAGATGTTGCTATGAATTTCTGAAAAGCCACATAAATTGAAAGAATTTTTAAAAAAAATTATGTTACAAAATGGAGGGATTATTATTGATATTAAAAAGAATAACCATTCATGAAGAATTCTTGTTGGCAAAAAAAAAAAAGGTTAATACTCCTCCAATTCTTAATATAGGACCTAATTGTTAAATTAATTTTGATCCTAAATATAAGATCTATTTATTTTCTAAATTACCTCTATGGATGGCCCTCAACCATAATCAAGTAAGTGAGGGAGGAAGGAAATTAAAAAAGAATGATTATGGTATTCTAGGAAAAACATGTCTTATTTCTTATAATTAACTTACTTAGCTAACTTCCTTAATCTAATCAAATTAGTTAAATAAATCTTATATTAAGGACTAAGGAGTATGATTTTTAATCCCTCAAGTTGCTCTCATTTTGATTTTGGTTTGTCCAGTTTCAAAACATAGGTTTTGGTTACTCAGATTTCATTTCATTTAAAACATTAATTTCTATAATCCGACAAAAATTTGGACTATTTTGTCTCTTAAGGGATCAAAACTCATGGTTTGAAACTTAAGAGATCAAAACCAAAATGAGAACAAATTTAAAAAAAAAAATTATATTAATCCAAAAAAAACAAGAAGAAGAACTCTTGGCTGGGGGAGAAAACAATCACGCGAAGTCGGGAAAGGTTGTTACGTGTGAAAATCTGGAAGAAAAGAGAAAGGTGATAGTTGAAATGGAGACGCAGCATTAATTAAGTCAACACTCCAAATAAAAGTCATCACCTCCCACGACGGACGTGAGAAGCTTATTATAAATACCTCTGTAAATGTTTTTTCTGAATATGTGTGATAGAGAAATGTTTTAGAACCGTGTGATACTAAAGGTATTAATATTTAAAATGAGTAATTACATGGGAAAAAAAGAGAAACTAACAAAGAATTTAAGATATCCTTTAAATGTTATTATAATTTTGTAATTACAGAAATAAGTCATGACTGTTACTTGTTTCTTGTAAAAAAGAAACTTAGGGAGTATATCTATCAATTAATAATATCTATGGAAGATCCACAAATATTTACCCTCCTTGAATTGCAATCTAGTGATATGTTTCTTTTTACTCAATTTTAAGATTTTTTTAATTTCGATTAAAAAAAATACTTAAAGTGTCTTATAAATGGAATTGAACCAAAAAATATGAGAAAAGCTCTATGAAAACAAAAGGGAGCAGTTTTTGAAGCCCAGCTCAAGAAATTCGTTTGACTTCAAGGACAGCACGAAGGAAAGGATCATAGTCAATGATGCACGCAGTTTAACTTGGATACAAAAACTATAAAGTGTACAAATCTTTTTCGTTTTTTAATAAATTGACATAAATAATGCTGAAGCCCAACCCATGGAATAGATCTGCAAATTATATGTTTTTTTGACGCTTCTTGGATGTTTCGCAGTACTTTCGAGATCATTTGCATAGTATTAACTCCAATCTTAAATATAAGATATTAAGTTTGTATAATTAATTTAAATTTTTAATAATAAAATCTATTACGATCAATTAATTAATAAAGACGGACATAGTGCACCAAGAAAATGTCTTGATGTTTTGTAATAACTTTTAATGGAATTAGTAAAAGGGTTAGCCAATTTAACCAGTAATTCAATTAACAAACTCTGAAGAAGAAATGTCGTATGGGCCACGACAGCCTGTAGCTCTGAAATGTTGCAAAGCAAAGCTTGACTCGACCTATCAAAATGAGACCCCTGTGAGAGGCATGGTTGTCAAAGATATGATACTCCCTCCTATTAAAATTTCCATTTACCTCAGGCCACTTGAAATCTAGGCCTATAAATAGGTGACAATCCCTTGCTACCTTCAAACCATATCGTGAGTGAGTGATTATCATGGAAACCTTATTCTGCTCCTATATTCCTAATGTTTTGCTGCTATGCTCTCTCATAATATTCGCAGCCATGATCTCCCAAGGCATCTGCAGAAGCTTGAGCGTTCAGTGCAATGAAAGAGACCGCCATCTTCTTCTAAACTTCAAACGCAATGTGGTTGATCCATCAGCCATCCTCTCTACTTGGTCTGATGAGCGAGACTGCTGTGAATGGCATGGAGTTCAGTGTGATAACACCACGGGCAGAGTCATGGAGCTCAGCCTCCCATGTTCCCAACGAGATCCCTTGGCTTCAGATTGTGGAGAGAAGAAGCCACACTGTCTCACTGGTGAGATCCACCTATCATCTTTGCTCCAACTTGAGTTTCTAAATTACGTGGATTTGAGCTTTAATGACTTCCATGCTATCATTCCAAATGACTATGTGGATGATATCACAGACTGCAATAACCTATCTGTGACTGACCGTCCTCATTTTTGCGGAAATTCTTCTATTATGCATCATCTTGATTTATCTTACAACGATCATCTTCACATGGGTAGTCTTGATTGGCTTTATCGTTTCCCGTCCTTGGAATATGTGAACTTCACTGGCATTAATCTTCAAGGGAGAGTTGACTGGATTCAACTACCAACTCTACTTCCTTCAATTAAAGAGTTGTCCTTAGAGAATTGTCAGCTTACAAGCATCAATCCACCTCTCCAGTTCGTTAATCTTACTTCACTTGAAGTTCTCAACCTTTCAGAAAATGATTTTAGCTCTGAATTTCCAGCCTGGTTATTCAATCTCAGTGATCTCACTACTATTGACTTGAGCTTTAACTTTTTCCAAGGCCAATTCCCAAAGAGATTATTAAATCTCCAAAAAATAAAAGAATTGAATTTGAAAGAAAACAAATTCAATGGACCAATTCCAGACTGGTTAGGCCAACTTGAACATCTACAAGTTCTTGATGTCAGTGGCAATTTCTTTTCTGGTCCAATTCCTTCAACCTTGGGAAATATGTCATCCTTGATTTTCTTGGCAGTCTGTTCAAATAACTTAAATGGAAGTCTGCCAGAAAATCTTGGACATCTCTTGAACTTAGAGGTACTAGGCCTTTGTGATAATGACTTCACAGGGTATGTGTCTGAAAGAAATTTTGTCAAACTCTCACATTTGACGAAACTTTTCATGGGATCACCGAATTTAATCTTTGACTTCGATTCTTTATGGGTTCCCCCTTTTCAACTTGAAGTGATTAGTTTGGATCACATGGTGGGCTCGAAACTTCCTGCGTGGATATATACACAAACATATCTTGAAAGATTAATAATTACCCAGTCAATCATTTCATTTGAACCTAGAGACAAGTTTTGGGATTTTGCAGCACAACTTCCATATATACAGCTACAAGACAACACAATTCATGGGGAGATGCCTAACGTGTTGCTAAACTCTACCATCGTAAGATTAAGTTCAAACAACATCAGAGGCAAACTCCCTCGATTATCATCAAATGTTGTGATGTTCACTGCAGCACAGAACTCTTTCCAAGGACCTATCTTTCCATTGTTGTGTCAAAAAGTGAATGGGAGAAGCCAATTACAGTATTTGGACCTGTCTGATAATCTTTTATCTGGAGGGCTTACAAATTGTTGGACACATTGGAAATCACTGGTTTTAGTCAAACTAGGTGGAAATAATCTAACAGGCACAATCCCCCCATCAATAGGTTTGTTGTCTAACCTTAGCGCTTTGGTTCTTAATAAAAATAATTTATTTGGAGAAATACCTTCGTCGTTCGTAAATTGCCTGAAGTTGCAGGTCCTTGATGTAGGCGGAAATAAATTATCTGGATTCCTGATGAATTGGATGCCAAAAAATGCAAAGATTCTTCTACTAAGATCCAATCAACTAAGTGGAAGTATACCACCCCAAATATGTCAATTGGCTTCTCTTGTAATATTGGATTTTGCGGACAACAGATTATCAGGTTCATTACCTTTTTGTCTGCAAAATCTGACAGCCATGACTTCCCCCAATTCTTCTAATAATGGGGTTTACAACTTTTGCATTAGAACTCCAATTTTGACTTATGAAGTCAATGTCAAGGTTATATTGCACACAAAAAACCAAGAATCGATGTTTGGCGAAAACTTGAAGTTCTTGCATGCTATTGATCTATCAAGTAATAGTATCTCCGGATCAATATCTCCAGAAATATTTAACCTTACTGGATTGCAATCTTTGAACTTGTCCCATAATCAACTTGAGGGAAACATACCAAATGAGATCAGCAACTTGAAAAATTTGGAGTCTCTTGATCTCTCAAGAAATCAACTTTCGGGTGAAATTCCTCCAAGTATGGCTAAATTATCTTTTCTAGAGGCCTTGAACCTCTCCTTCAACAATTTCACTGGGAAGATTCCATCAGGAACTCAACTTCAAGGGTTTGATGTACAAAGCTATATTGGGAATTTTGAATTATGTGGGGCTCCACTTCCAAAGAACTGCACAAACAAACAAGATGGCGAACCCTTTGAAGGAAATGATAGTAAAAAAGATGAATTTCTGTCTTCATTCTACTTTGGGTTGGGAGTTGGATTTGCAATGGCCTTTTGGGGAGTATGTGTTGCCATTTTCTTCAACAGGAATTTCAGGCACTTTTGCTTCAGGTTCCTCTATCGCATCATAGGCAAACTCTATGTCATAGTGGTCATCAGGATGAACCGTTTTCGTCGCTAAAGACCCAATTGGCATTGTGGTGAGTGAAACAAACTTCTCATTTTAAGTTTTGACCAAGTTCTTTTAAATGTTATAGATTTCCCTTTTCTTAATATATTCTAGAACTATACATTTCTATTCTGATCAGAAATATTTACACACAAAATCACCATGGCATGCTTTGGATTTTATAAATTTAATATTTTGGAGATGTAAGACACTTGTAATTATGTTAAATTTATATATTATGCAGGTTCTTGCTATGTGATGTATTATGCAGGTTCTTGCTATGTGATGTATTACGCAGGTTCTTGGTATGTAATGTAGGTTTCAGTAAGTCTGCTCATCAAGTCTTTTAGACTGAACATAGCAAGGGAGGACGAGGAGATGATATTAATAATTGAAGGCATGTTACAAGTGAAGTGAAATTTTTAGTTTGTGTGTTACTTTAAATTCGTGTAATATATGTATATAGTTATACTTTATGCATACCAATTGTATCCTTAATTAAAAAGTTTATATGTCAGTAAATAAAGAGGAAATCAAAATATTTCTTTTTGAAGAGCAAGAGGAAATGGCCTAAAGCTTTTTATGTTGACTTGAAAGGGAGTTTTGGATGGCCAGCGCCCAGCGCGCTGCCATCGTACTCCTATTATATTCCTTGTAACGTTTGCTTTTTAAAAAAAGAAAAAAGAAAAAGAAACTTTCATATTAAAAAAGTAAATAAGTCATTGCGGCCAAGGTTGACAGCTGGAAATTAATTATTCATAGATGAATATATAGCGTGCGTATGTTAATCTAAAATTAAAATAAACGAGCCTTTTATTGTCAGGAAATTAACTATTCATACATGAACATATATTCTAAAGTAAATATTGCTACATCCTCTCCTTAATATAAGAGTTATTTAGGGATTATATTTGGTCACAAGTACAAGACCTCAAACTATTTTGTCTCTTAAATTTATAATTTTTTTCTTCAAAATACCCATATTGCTTTGAGGGGTTCTTACAAAAAAGTAGTTTCAATACACAATTAAAAAATATAGCATAGAGAAACCAATATATAATTGTTACAAATAATTAACATAATTAATTATCTTAATATTACTACTTAAAGAAAAAGACTTTTGGTGATATTTTATTGCCGCTTAAAATCACTTTAGGCGGCGATAAACAGAAAATACCTTTGTCTTCATCAAAAGACAAAAGTACTTTTCAGCACAATGTTTGTCTTGTGGAAGCTTATAAAAGTCATCAGTGGTGAAAGATACTTTCAGCAGCGGCAACTTTTGTTGTTAAAGCTGAAACTTTTAGCCATGGTCATTAGGGCAATGACTTTTCAGTGATGACGTTTATACTTTCAACAGTGACTTGAAAATCAATTTTTTTTTGTAGTGTATTCTAAAATTAGTTATCTAACTTTTATATTAAACCTCAAAGCTAATATTAATCTTCTTCCCCGAAAACGTGAACGCAATTTGCAAGTCAACTGGCAACGTGGACCCAAACATAAGTCCAATAATAAACAAAGCATGAGTGTAAGCAACAATTGTATCTTATCCATAAAATTTGAGTCTTAAACGTATCCTCAGAACTCAGACTCTTCACAAAGAATGAATGGGATGGCAAGGATCCCATTCATTCTATATATTAGCAGTATTATATCTCTGTCTTGATAGTAAAATGTTTCCTTTAGTAATGAACGAAGACTCAAAAAGAGTTCGGAGTCTCGTAACCTATTGACACTAATCATTTTTCTTTGTCTTTCTAAAATTGTGAGGTCGTGAATTCAAAACTTCTGTGAAGAATACAATGAGTGCGACTTATGGAAAAAAGAGAAATAAGTAGAGAGAGAGAGAACATTTGGATAGGTAGTTTCTTTCTCGTTTTAATAACCGAAAAATATCTGATAGAAAGATATTTGGCAGGAAATTTTCTCTACAAAACTGCAGTTTCTAAGTTTTCTTTTCCAAGCTTAAATATTCTCGATTTTGCGAGAAAAAGTTGTGACGAAAACATTGTTTTCTTGAAATAAATTTAAATTGAAAGTAGGCATCAAGGAAAGAGTGTTATTGTGGACACAATATTGAATATGATCCTTGCAATCCATTTATTCATTGGAACATCATTAGTTATGCCGAATTTTTGGGTAACAAAATCTATTATCAATTTAGTAGAAGTCAATCAAAATAATATATATTGGATTTAGTAAACAAATATGTATTTTTTTTAAAAAGAGAGACAAGGATAATGAGGAGATCTTGCCCAATTCAACTTCGGTCGCATTTAAATGGGTGGGACTTGGGAGAAAAGTCTACAAGACATGGACCTCATTTATTTTTCACAAACGGCGTTGATTAGGCAGAATTTTTTTTTTTAGATAAACAAACATATTCATGGTCATTTTGAATTGAAGAGTTTTAGGTGAACAAAAATAGATGACAAAATAAAAAAGAGAAACACTGAAATACGCACACCCACTTTAAATTGAAGTGATCTGTAATGGCCGTGAAAAAACAAAGGAACAGCAGTAAAAAAAAAAATGAATGGAGAAAAAATAATAGTTATGAGTTAATTAGTATCTCTTGCTATTACGATGGCGACACCAACTCTCTCTGACAGCAACGGCGGAGGCCCACCAAATGACGGTGATCCCTCCAAATGATGGCGAAAAAAATACAAAAAGGTTAACTAGGATCTTGCAGAGACCTCAACTGAGGATCAACCCAAGGAAGGAGACGAGAAACCTGACTCCTTCAAAGACAAAGTTATGGGATCAAATCCCACTAGCTGGTCATGCAATAGACAGGGGAGTAGAGTCTTCGACGACGCCTGGAACGACTACATAGACTCCTTGAGGGGTTACTTCAGCAACGTAGCAGAGGGAGAAGACCAAGAACAGACTGAGTTTGACGAGGAAGATTGCCCCACCCTCAAAGTTTCTAGAAAAGAATATGAAAGATGGTGTGCTCCTTGGAGAAAGTCTCTTATTATTAAACTGCTTGGAAAATCTATTCCGTTGTGGCTAATGAAAGAGAACCTCGCAAGACTATGGGAAACGGATAAATCTTATACAACCAAAGACCTTGATAATGGTTTCTTTGTTGTGTCCTTTGAAGATGAAAAGGATATGAATCTCATACATGAAGAAGGCCCATGGATGATTACAGACCGGTATCTCATCGTTCAACACTGGCAACCTAACTTTGACCCATGGAGTGGGGACACGATGAAGAAAATTGCGGCGTGGTTACATATTCCCCTATTGCTTTTAAAGTTCTTCAACACTGAAAGCCTTGGAAAAATCAGAAGGCTCATAGGAAGGACCCTAAAGGTAGATATGATCACATACACTAGCGACAGAGGCAGGTTTGCATGCATATGCGTCGAGTTGGATCTCCAGAAAAAACTAAAGTCTGCCATAAACATATTTGGGACTAGAAGGATTATTGAGTATAAAGGCCTACATCTAATCTGCTTCCACTGTGGTAAATACGGACATCACCGTGATGTATGCCCAGAGAACACCAGAAATACTGAGCAGAATGCGGGCACTCCACACGAATCAGGTAAAGCGAAACCTGTCAAAGATCCTGTTATGGTTAATGTGGATTTGAATTCAGAGCCAAAAGAGACTGCGAATATACAGGTCCCCCAACACAATGTGTCAGAAAGTAGAACCCCAAAGAGACCGAATAAAGATATAGCCGCTGGAAAGTTCTCTGTTAGAGAGCCCACGGTGACGACGGAGGGCCACGGTGTCTGGGACTTGGTACAACGGTCAAAGGGTAGGAAATCTGGAAACAATGCTAAGTTGGGATATGCAAATAGTAAAAAGGAGCAATTTGCGTGGAAGATGGAGAAGATATCTTAGGATCACAAAAATCAAGGGAATATTAATTCGGATAACCAATTTAGGAAAAGCAGTGTAAGTCTTGCACATGATATAAATGGTAATTCCAAATCGTCGTGGAAGGATTCGATGCAGTGGGTCCCAGTGGATCAGATAAATTCTATCAAAAATAAAAACCAGAAAGCGAGAAAAGGAAAAATAACTCAACAGTAAAAAAGGATGGCACTCACACATCGCAGAGCTCAGGAACAATGTCTACAAATTTTTGGCAAGCTCGCAACTGGTTTGAAGCTCTCTCCACAATCAGTGAGTAGGAAATTAGAACCCCACATGGAACAAACTCTCAGTCAAACGAAGCGACCACTCAACACCAGACTGCTCAGCACATTAACGTAAAAATGGCATCTACTATGGATGATTGCTCGCAATCGATAGATATGGAACTGTCTACTCCACAACTAGCTCAAGACCAAAATGCATCGTGTCACTTAAATGATACAGTGAATCAAGCTCAAACCAATATCCAAGGGTCTATAAGCATGAATACCTCTCACTCTCTGTCTCCATGAATTGCATACTTTGGAATTGCAGGGGTACTGGGGCCAAGAGTTTTCTAGGCCTCATACATGAAATAAAAAGAAGACACAATATTGACATTTGTGCTCTGTTTAAAACAAAAGCAAGCGGTGATAAGGCAAGACAAATCAGCAAGAAGTTGGGCTTCCAACATTGTGAGATAGTAAATGCTACGGGATTCAGAGGTGGAATATGGGTACTGTGGAATAATGATTATTTTTCCTTTCAAGTCATAGAGGCTAGTGACCAGTATATTCACATCATGGCTGGAAAAAATGGTGAAAAGGTATTCATAACCTCAGTTTATGCCAGTCCAAATATTAACAACCGACGGTCTCTTTGGGGCAAACTCACCAACCTTAATCTAGGAAGTCAGTGGCCGTGGTTTGTCGGGGGAGACTTCAACATGACCTTGCTATTTAATGAGCGTATCTCCATGGCTCTCCACATAACCCCGGTGGATAGGGACTTTTGGAATTAGGTCGATAACCTGGAACTCTCTGAACTAGGCTGTGTTGGTCCTTTCTTCACTTGGAAACGAGAAGGTTGCGAAAGTAGAATTGACCGTGTGCTCTCAAACTTCAAAGCCAGAGAGGTTTATACTGATGCTATCGTTAAAAAATCTCCCTTGGTTTAAATCAGATCATCGGCCTATTTTACTCCAACTTCACCCAGGTTTGATCTCTAACTCTAGTCACCCTCGTCCTTTTCGTTTTAATGCCCCTTGGGTTCTCCATGGTGATTTTAGCAGGTTAGTTAAAGATCATTGGAATGCTCATATCAAGTGGACAGACAATGTTAACTCCTTCACAAATGAACTTATCACTTGGAGCAAGACAACATATGGGCATTTAGGGAGGAAGAAAAGACAATTAATGGGGACACTAGAAGGCATATCTAGATCTATTAAAGCCTCTAGGACATCTTCCTCTCTAGAATAGTGACAAACTCAATTATTTTTATATATTTTGGTATCTTTTATATGAGTTTTGTCAGCTTAATTGGTCCCTTTTTGCCTTAGGGGGTGTTTGGATAGAAACCAAACCATGGTTTCAGAAGTGCTTTTACGGATTACGAAGTAAATATGTGGAGGAGATTATCTCATTTTGCGGAAAAGTGCTTCTGAAACCATGGTTTTGGGTTTCCCAAACACCCCCTTAATTGATTTATTTTATTTTATTTTGAATTATTATTTTATAGGGGCAAAATTGTCATATTTTGGTTTAATTGTGACTAATTGATTTTTTAGGACAATTAATGCTATCTTATCCTTGAATTTTGCTTGCAGGTTTTTGGAAGAAATGAAAATTAAAATTAAAAAAAATAAATAAATAAATAAAAAGAAAAAAAAAGAAAAATCAATTAAAAAAATATAATAATAAAAGGAGGAGCAAAACGCAACGTTTTGCCCCCCAACCTAATATCTAATAATTCATCACCTTCGTCCAGAGCAACGCACACGCGAGGAGACAGAGAGACGCAAGCGAACTGGAGGCGGCGAAGGGAACCTGGAGAAACAGAGCACGCCGACCGGGAGAGAACAAAACCGAAGAGCTGGGCGGCGGCAACGAAAGAGGAGGCCGAACGGAAGCTGAAGACGCACGCCGGACGGAAGCAAAGACAACAAGCTGAGGCGGCACGCACAGAGCTCGACAGCGACGGAGGAATAGAACAGAGCGGTGGCGTGCAACGGAGACAAATCCACGAGCAACACAAGGACCAGCTTGCGTTCCGTCTTCTTCCATGGCTGACCGTAGCAAAATACTGATTGTGGCAGCAAACTTGATGGCAAACCGTGGCTAAGATCCCCTAATTCTCTAATTCAACAATAATGGCAGGAGCTTGGATCATCAAAGGGGAGTTTTAGTTGCTTTAATTTCTTACTCAATAATTGTTTAACAATTCCTAGGTCTTAGGATAGTTTTTCTGATTATTGGGATAATTGTATTGCTTAATCTGTTTATTATTTGGGGATTATTGTGACTGAATTATTGTTTAGTATTTGACATTGGGCTGTTTATAGTTTTGATCTCAATTATAATGTTGTGGTTATGACATTTGTATTGATTTTGGAATTAATATATTGTGATTTTCTAAGGTGGCTTAGAATTTTGGATCATATAGTCTCTTGCTAGCTTTAATTCTGTTATTTTGGATTTAAGAGTTCTAATTAAGCATTGGTTTTTGGCATCCTTAATCCCATTTTACTATTCTGGTTGCAGTTAGTAAGTTGGGATTTTAGGAAAATATTTTGTGGCAACTCGAGGTGGCTCGGTTGTTGGATTAAAAGCTTAATTATAATTCTTAATTCATTGTTTTAACTCCCACATCTTTTAGAGTGATGATTGCCTGCGTTGTTGAATTGGAGGATTGATTTTTATCAGTGTTATTTGTGTGTTTCATTTTCATTTCTTTTATCTTCATTTATTTCAATCATTTTCATATATAAAAAAAAAGGGTATTTTAATTTCAATTTGATTCGTAGCATTTAATTAACAGCTTTTCAAAATCAAAAATCTCTTTTTATAGTTTAGGTTACTTGCATTTATTTACTAGGGTTTAATTTCGTTTTCGACTCCTCAAAGTGAAACGACCCGAGTTGTGCACTATATTGCATTAATTCGGTTAATTTTTGGAGTAACCCCAAAGCGACAATTAAGAGCAGTTCAACTTCAAGTTGCAAAGGAAACTTTGGCTTGAGTTAGAAGAGGTGCTTATTCAAGAAGAATTACTATGGGCCCAGAAAACAAGGTGTGATTGCTACACTCTCGGTGATAGAAATTCCAAATACTTTCATGCAAGAGCTAATGAGCGTAGACGTAGAAACAAAATTGAAGCTATCATGAACGAGAATGGGGAAGGGATTGATAATGTAGAAGAGATCAAAAAAGTGGCTACAGGTTTCTTCGTGTCCCTCTTCCACGATGAGGGTAGTGACGGAATTATCCCTGAAAACAATGTTTCTTACTCACCCATTGATGATGAGATGCTAAAAAACATGGCCTCAGAAATTACTAGTGCTGAGATCAAAACTACTCTCTTTAACATGGGTGCTTTGAAGTCCCCTGGACCTCTGGACCTAATGGTTTGAATGCTCTATTTTTTCAGAACTAATGGGAAGTAGTGGGTTCCTCAATTATCAATTTGGCCAAGCAAGCATTTGTGAATCCTGAGATCATCTCTAATATTAACCACACCTTTATTGTGCTTATCCCCAAAAAAGATCACCCAGAGACTATAAGAGATTTTAGGCTCATTAGTTTGTGTAATGTGATCTATAAAATCATTACCAAGGTCGTGGTGAATAGAATGAAGAAGTTCTTACCTAACATCATTGCCCTTAATCAATACAGCTTTGTGCCTGGTCAGACGAGTTCGGACAATATCATTGTTGCTCAAGAGGTTATCCACTCGATGAGAAACATGAACAGTAAAAGAGGCTATATGGCGATTAAGATCGATTTAGAAAAAGCGTATGACCGTATCTCTTGGAGATTTGTGTCGAGTTGCCTAAATGAAATCAAGATGCCTGATATGATAAAAAATACTATCTTGTCTTGCATTTCCTCTCCTTCAATGTAGATCTTGTGGGAAGGAGATAAAGCCAATTGCTTCAATCCCTCTTAAGGACTTCGCCAAGGAGACCCACTCTCCCCATACCTCTTTGTTCTTTGTATGGAGAAATTAGCTCATATCATCCAAAATGAAATGAACAATAGTCATTGGAAAGCTATTAAACTCGGTAAGTCTGGCCCTCCTATCTCTCATTTATTTTTTGCTGATGATTTGTTGATTTTTGCAGAAGCTACCCTCGAACAGGTAGAGGTCATCAAGAGTTGCCTAAATATCTTCTATGAAGCTTCTGGGCAGAAAGTCAACCAAGGGAAAACCAAAGTGTTCTTCTCTAAAAATATAAACCATAACAGAAGAGCGCAACTTAGCGAAGCACTTGGTTTCTCTTGCACTGCTGACCTTGGGATATATCTGGGAGTTCCCTTAGGGCCTGTTTGGTTTGAGGGGAGGGGAGGGAGGGGTAGGGGAGGGGAGGGGAGGTTTCATCCTCACCTTGTTTGATTTGATTAAAAAGGAGGGGAGGGAAGGGTATTTAATGATCCTTGTTTGGTTCAAGGAGGGGAGAGGAGGGATAGTAATAATCAATTTACCATTTTACCCTTACATATTAGTTTATGTTTTTTATTGATATATTATATAAATTAATTTACATCTTAATTTAAATTATATAATTTAATAAAATTCAGTCTTATCATGTTAATATGTGTATTAAAAAATTGGTTATAGTAATTTTTTATTCTAATTAATATAATAATATATTTAAAATAATCAAATTAACAAATTTTATATGCTCTAAGAAAAATGAAATTTTATTTTCTTTAAGCTATCTTTTCTTCCAGCTTTAAAATATATTTAATAAATAATATTTATAA